TTAAAAAACACATGTGATCATGAAATTTCATTAGTCTTCTGAAAGTAAAACTAAAGTGTAGTTTAATTACCAGTTAAGCTGTTGGGGCAGGTTAGATATCGTTTTGTCCACCTTAATGTTGTGCTTTCATTCCTACTTGTCTTACCGTACTTGCTAGAAAACCTGAATCATTACTGTGACAACTGACATTTCAGATTTTTCACAAGCTTCTAGTAATGTAGCATTTCTCCACACATCTTGCACTCCTGAGATATATCTACAGGAGTGTGTTGAAGGGAAAACAATAGCTGTTTCCTCCACCAGTGCTCCCCAGGGCCTTCTCTTGGCACCACCAGCAGCAGGGTGAAACCATCCTGGTTGGAGAGGTGGGAGCAGCGCTGCTCCTGTGAGGGATGTGGTGGGGGTACCAGGACAGGTTCCCCAAAAGCAGGTTTCTTAGCTGCTACCAGCAGTGTTTGAGAAGGATGAGACAGAGATAGAAGAAGAGTGTCACCCCTAAGGCTCTTAGTAGCTGAGCAGGGCTGTGCAGCACACTAAAGAACTTGCCCTTTGAAAAGAATTGCAGTCAAATCTCATTAAAGCTGCTCTTCTAAAAAGATAACCATTAACTTTCATTAGTACCATTATTCTGCAGTTCTTTAATTAATAAGAATTAATTGAAAAAGCAAATGGAACATTTTAGGAATTAGGTAAAAAATCATGTATCAAAGCATGAGAGATTGATAAAAACTTCAGACAGTCTTTATGTACGCACATTCATATTCTGTACATGTGCTCACAGCATATGCGTGGGGGATGAGACTGTGCCTGCCATTGTGTGACTAAAGTAGCAGAAGGGTTTGTAAAGAAGATGAGAGTTGTCTTCTCAAGTGGATTCAGCATGCTTCAGAGGATGCATGGGAAGGGAGGGAGAAGCGTTTTCAGTAGTGCCTCTGCAAAAGAGATCGGCATCTCTTTGTAAAGATGAGTTTCGGTTTAAGATCACTATAGAGTAAAGCATTGCCAGTTAACTTGAGTGTAAACTAGTGCTGCTTCTTAAGGCTTGCCCCAAAGATTTGTAGGGAAGAGGAGATCCTTGAGTCTGAGGGGTGATTTCCCTTCCTCTGAGTTTTGAGCAGGGGAGCAGTGGGGCTGAGGAAGGCGAGAGTGACTGAGACCTGTGGGGCAGGAGCAGAACTGTAACCTCTGCGGAGGTGTCAGGTAACCCTTCCTTCAGCCTGGGAGCCTCCTGTGCACCGACAGGCTGCTGCTCTCCTCCACCTGGCTGGGGATGTGAACAATTTCCCGTGCTTGCTTGGGAGCAACATTTTAACAGGATTTTATGACCTAGTAATGAACTTTTCCTTTGCTGCCTGAGTGGCCTGGGTAATGTATGGTTTGGCAACAGGGGGTGCAAAGGGTGTATTTTTTTGGCTTTAACTTAAAGGATATACTAGATGGTAACAATGCCTTTTTTTTCCTCTTTCACAGCGCTAAAGCTGCATGATAAATACCATAAATTTCAAGGTTTTTCAGCTGTCTTGATAAGAACTGCATTAGGAGAGACATCTTTTATAGGAGTGAAGAAATGGTTTGAGTACAGTAAATTCTGTTTGCTGTTGCACGCCTGTTTCATGAGCAAGGCTCCCCGTGCTGGGATTGCTAAATACGATTGGGGAGACATCTCAAGACCTTCTAGAGGTTGCAACAAACTGCAAAGAATATGTGGTCCATAGTGGACAAATTACCAGCAGGTACTTCTGTTGTTTGCGGCATACTATGACAATGATTTGCAGGATTTATTAAACATTATATGAAATGCCCTTTCCTTTGTTTAAAGCATGTTTGAGTGATGCTTTCCTTCGTTGCCTCCTTTTTCTTGCTTCTGTGGGAAATGGGGAAATATTCTCTGCTCAGGCTTTGCATAGTTTTCAAACATTATGCATAATTGGGAAGGTGTCAGTCATATCTTCTGCTGTGTGTTTCCTTTCTAAGTTTAGTCTTGTTTTGAAACTATACTTTTTACCATACTTCCTGTTCCCTCTGATACCTTTTCTTGTTATACTGTATCTTAGATTAGGACAGCCACAAGTGCGTTATTCATATATTAGAAAATGGTATTTGTGGGTTTTGGGGGAGCACCGAAAGGTCGAAGAGTAGTTTTTCTGCAAATTCTAGGGAGGTCAATGCAAGAAAATTTCCGTTGTTTGGAACAGACTTATTCAGGTTCGGAGTTGTACATTTTGAGGTCCAGGGAGTTCAGGCTTAATCTCTGCTTTTGCAGCATCTTTTTATGCCAGTTAGAGAAAATGTTTGGGCCAGTACTCCATCTTTTCAGCTGTTTTGAGAGGTGATCTATCCTACGGACAAATTAGACTGGTGAAGGGCAGCGCACGCTTGAACACTTTTTTACTTAAATCTAGCTGGCAGTTTGCTGGAATTACTTTTAAGATTTTTCTTTTATTATCATTGCCATTACACACAGTATTCTAAAGAACCTGTCACTTGAGCATCTGAAGCTTTTCGATTTATACATGCTATACATTGGGCAATTTTTTTCATGACTTATAGAAAATCAAAGAGGTAAGCACTAACATCACTAACATCTTTATTATATAAGTTATAAGAAAATGTGCACTAGCCATCGACTGCTTTTATGCTTATTATTTACAGATTTTTTTAACCTTTATAACCCAGATCTGTATTAGATAGAATAAGGACTGTTTCAGTTTCTTTTATATGTAGATTTTTACTTTTTCTGTGAAAATGTTTCTTTATATACTTGTTTGGACCTCTTTTAAAAAGACTTGCCTACTGTGCTGTTTATACAACAGTATCATTAAAGCAGTAATCAAGAAAGGGCTTAACTCTGGAATTAATATTTAATTGCTTCTGTAGAACATTACTCGTATCATTTGTTGTGCTTCTTTTACAGTGACAGAACAGTTCCTTTATTTTCTATGGAGAAAATCTTTATTTTAATGGGGAACCATGACAAGGAACCTGTAGTTAAGGTTTTTTTCAGGGGCTTGTCACTCGAGGGAGAGGGGTTGCGTGCTCTTAAGACAGCAGAAACTGCTGGTGGGGCCCATTTGAGCTCCATTGCTCCATGCTACATCTGTGTCATGTGCCAGCAGGTATGAAGTCTTAAGTTTAACTGTAAACACTTTCTCATTGCCTCTGTCTGAGACAGTGTTCATATTTGCACTTTCTATTTCATTTAGCTTGTATGTAGCAGCTTGCTTTTTAGTACTTGGGTATTTAGGGACTAGAAAGATTTTGAATATTCCTAGAAAATAAAAAGAAAAATCTAAAATATAATTTACCTCTGCTCCATGACACTTCCATAGTTTTTACTGTCAGTATTTAGAAACTAAATTACAAAATTCTAAGAACTGTATGATCTTTCCTTTAAGCCAGTGCCTAGAAAAATTATTTTCACTGGTTTTATCCCCCAAAAGCATAGGCTATTTTTATTGTTCTCTCAAGAAAATAAGGGCAGTAAACATGGTATTAAAATGCAGTGACTGAAGTCTAATCAGATCCTGGAAACGCAGAGGTGTTTCTCAGGTAGACCTAAGGATCCTGCCTGGGTCCCTCAGCTACAAGCCATGGCTTCAGTGAAAGAATATACACCCAGGAAAAGCAGCAAGGAGAAATCTAAGCAGTCTGCGAGAGCAAAATACTCCATTACAGTCATCTTTGACTTTTAATTCCTTATGCCGTTCTAGGTCAGCAAAATTTCAGCTCTACCACCATGGCCTTATGTTATTCTTATCCAAAAAATCTTGCTATTTTGACTAAGTAAAGGCAACAGTGGTTAAATATCTACTGTAGGGAAGATGCATTCTGTGGTGCAACATGAAGCCCTGGCTGCATCCTGGGACCGTTTTGGGATAAGACTTCTAAGCAGAGGACAGATGAAGCTGTGGCAGGCTGTCTGGTGGAGGAGGACTGAGGAGGAGTTGTGGAAAACTCATCTGCCCTGCTGTCTGGAGAAAGTGTTATCTCTTCTGCAATGGGAAGGGAGACCAAGTTATACCAATACCAGGTGTATCCATTCTCTGTGTCTCAAATGGGAGTTTTGCATTGGTCATTCAGAGTTTTACATGACAGAAGATGGAAAAAATATAGAATTTTAGGGAATCTATTTTTCATGAAGAAAAGTTTTAGTAGACAGATCTTAATAAGCAGCACTAATAAGACAAGAAGCATAACTTGCCCCCTGAGAAACTCCTTCCAGTCAGTGCCATGGGTGTAGAAAATTGCAAGCCTGTGTTTTCACAGCCTGAGATTATTCTTACACTGTCTGCAGAACCAGAAAATACTCCTGATTAATTTATTGTATGTGGATCTGGAAAGGTGTGGAGGGGTAAGATTTCTGAGTTGTGGAGGACTTTGCACTACAAGTTTACTGAGGAGATTTTTGTATTTGGAAGATGTGTTCTTAGCTGAATTTATTGCCAGTAGCAGTGTAGGTGGCAGAGAAGCGTCTTCTCTCTTCTTACCTTGATTAGGTATGATTTAGAAGTGATGTTTAGACTAGAAGAGTTAGTCCTGCTAGTAATGTGATGTAATGAATGGATCATATCTACCTTTCAGGTAGAATAGGCAACCAGTTTGACTTTGAACTCATAATAAAGGGAATTTGTTGCTGGACTTTGCCTGGCCTGAATAAGGAAGTAGTCCATCAAGAAGGAAATAATTCTTTAATGTTTTTGTATCGCAAAGATTTTCCTGTCTTTTTTCCAGAAGGGGAGAAGAAAAAAACATGAACTGTAAAAAATTATTTGTCCCTTCACTGACATCTGAGTCAGGTAAAGGTTTAAAGAGAAAATGAAACAGTCTTTCATTGCATGAACAAGAAATTATTTCTGTACTCACAGAGCAATGAATTCCATCAGTACTCTGGAGGTACTTTCGACTTGTTAGGATTATTTAATGTAGCTTGAGACATAATCTGAATTTAAAATATAATTAAATTTGTAACAGTCTTTTGTGTTGTCTCTTTTCAGGTTTGCTGGTCCTCTGATACGTTTCAGAATGCCACTGGTAAAAAGGAACATAGACCCGAGGCACCTGTGCCACACAGCGCTGCCCCGAGGTATCAAGAATGAATTGGAATGTGTCACCAATATTTCCTTGGCGAATATAATCAGACAACTGAGTAGCCTAAGTAAGTATGCTGTCCTAATAGTGGTAGTTAGAACTAACATATTGCAGTCACAGTTTTTGTGCTCGAAGTAGGAAGACCTCTTTAAATTCTCAGTAGAAAATTCTGCCTGAGCCTTGAATGTACTGCTTTTGTGGCTAGTGACTAGCACGGACTTCTGTGAAAGAAAGCTAGTAATTTTTCCAGCAGCACGTCTTTAAAACTGTTCAGCTGAATATTTCTGTTACCAGTGGAACATGACAGAAAGAAGTATCTGGTACTTAATGAAGTCAGAAATTGCTAACCTTAGAGAAATTATTGAGTAGGAAATATGACATAATGAGGAATAGATCACTGGTTGCTCAATTCTCGTACCTTAAACCCTTGGTCATGTTGCAGTCATTCAGGAAAAAAGAAGTAGTTGTCTTTTAAAATAATAAACCCAGAAATGTAATTATTACATAGTGTTTCACACTAAGAAGATTTTTCTTCCTCCTTCTCCGTTCTGTCAACAGTTTTTTCCCTTGGTGCACTTGTGATGAGTGAATACTTCTCAAGCTCTAGAACTCTGAAGGAGTTTTTCTGAAAAGTCTGGCTTCTGTGTTGCTTTTTTCTTTAAGTTACAGCAACTTTTAAAAGTTGCCAGGTGAACCAGCATGATAGCACTTTGAATTTCAATACTAGAGATGCTTTTTAACCACAGATACATTAGTATTTTCCAGACTACCAACACATTAAATATTAAAATTTGCATGCATATACATCTACAATGTGAAAAGCCTTTCAGCTTCCTCAGTATTTGTAGGGTCATAGGTGATGTAGCCTAAGATGTTAATTAGATTGTTTTAGTTATTGGTTTGGTGGTTTACTGTGTGGTAACTCTCTTTTGGCAGCCTTTCAAAGCTGTTAGGGTACTGATAGATTGAAGACTCTAATTGAGGACACTGAATTATGCAATCGAGACAGCAATGCTTACAGCACATAAATACGAACATTATTAGTATAGCTGGTGCAACAGCAAGGAAAAGAACTATTTAAATTCTTTTCAGTGAACTAAGAGCATATCAGATTAGGATGCAGTATATGATCATCATCCGTGGTCTTGCTTCATTCTGCCAAAAACCCTTCTCAGACTAGCTGTTTGTGTACTAGCCTCCTTATCCAAGTCACTCTTATTAATATTGTATTCGTTTTCGTTTGCTTCTTTTAAAAATTTGGTTATGTACACAATCTAGGGGAATTTCCTTTTATAGGTGGCATACCAAATTTACATTTGATATTTTCAATTGAAAGTTTCATTTGACCTTAAAAAACCAACCAAACAAACGGCAAATCACTTGGTTTTTCAATTTTGAAGAACACCACTTTTTAGCTCAACATCATGGTCTGAGTGCTTACCTATTGAGACTCGGCTGCCTTTGCTATGTTTCCTTGGTATGCAGACCTTATGCCTGACAATATGTATACAGCTGTTCAGGAAAAGGTCAGGACGAAACAATACCAGGACAGAAATAACTCAATTAGAGGAGAAAAAAAGTATTGAAGAATATCCATTGGATGCCCCCACATTTGTTATATGGCTTGCCTAATGTGTAGCGCAGTTAAGAGAGACATTTTCAAGGGAATGTAACTGTAATTATGTAAACCCCTTTTCTGTAAAAGGAATATGGTTCTATGCGAAGCATGCATATATACAGATGAACCCTAAATTAACTGTTTTCACTTGGAAGTTTCTGTCATGAACTTGTGACTCACTAGTGGTCAAAAGGCATGCAGTGTTGGAAATGACAAGGAAGATAAAAGAGAAGGGAAAATGCACTGGTTTACTCTGCAACAGCAAGCCCAGAATAGGTTGTTCAGATTTTTCGTAAGTAGGTTAAACACTGATGAGCAGGACTTACTGCTTCAATCTTTTGTTCATAGCATCATGGTGTTTGTAGGTTTTCTATGGACAGTGTTTATATCAACTGAATTACTGAATGACAAATGTTAATTTACTTAGTGTCCCGCAATCAACTGATTTAGTTATTCAACTTGTAAGTTTTTGGTTTATACTGTGTATGATTTCAACAAAAAAAAATCCAATTTTTCCTGCAATTAAATAGAATATGTTTTACAAAATAATCCTTATTTCTCAGCAACATTAAGGATTGCTCTATAAAAATACAGATTATGTTACAATGGTATGAGTACCTGTAAAAGTATTTTGTTGCAGAATTCTTTTAGCTTTTCTGCCTGTTTGTGGTAGTAGCAATACAAATTCAGAAAGATCTGGGAGTTCTGGCATAGGAATTTTGTCTCCCACGGAACCCAAATAACCAGTCTTCACTTGGCGTGTCGCCGTTACCGGTGTACAGCGAGGCCTGCTGACATGCGGATAAATTTTAGCAGTTGCCTGTGAGTCACAGCCAGCAGCCATGGTTTTGCAGGACTCCCCTGGCAACCACCGTCTCTGCAGTCCTTGCCTTTTTGTTTTCTGTGGGTAATGTGTATGTTTGAAAATCAGCCTTTAAGTTGTAGTCAAAATGAGGCTTCACTTTGAGCAGAAACTGAGTGTTGTGATAGGGTTTAGTTTCCTTTAAACTAAAGCTGCTTTTGCTTTTGATGATAAAGTTATGCAAATTCCAATGAATGGACTTTGACATGATGAACACACAGTAATTTCTGCCTCTTAAGACTTTTTCAGTTACTGGGCCTCAAATAAAGGATTAATCTCTTGCCATTATGACTCTCAAGACCAACCATTCTTAATATTTCTTCTCATATGTCCCTGTCCATGGCAGGGGAGTTGGACTGGATGATCTTTAAGGTCCCTTCCAACCTAAACCATTCTATGATTCTATGAATTAGAGCCTTCAGTTCTTTAAATTATACTAAAAAACGTTATTTAGAAAAGCTAAGTGTAGAGTTTTATCACATATGTGGTTAGATCTCTGTTCTTGGAGATATTAATATCTCTACTGGATTAGTCAAGCAGCTGGATCTAATTGGATCTGCTGTGAGCAGGGTGTTGTACTAGATGGCTTCTGGAGATGTTTTCAACCTGAACAGGACTATGTTTCTATGATCTTGGATACTATGTGTAAGTAGGACATGCCTGGAGGAACAATGCCTATTAACTGACAGGAATTTTGTTTTCCTGTGTTTTAATATGAAATGAAAAGAGCTTTATATCAATATGCCAGCAATAGCTGCTATGTGTCTCCATACAAATTCTCAGTCCTTTCATAGTTTATTTGATATGTTGCTTTTAATTGTTCAGTTTGAGAAATTTTTTGTCCTTTAAAAATGTTGAAATGAAAAGATGAAATATTTATTTCTGCTTTGAGTGATAGTCTTTGGCTTTCTCCCTGGAGCATGAAAACACATCACTCTATCTTGATACAACATACAAAATTGCCAGCAAGTAATTTTTTTATCCCCTGTCCATTCCCAGTCTTCTCTAACTTCATAAAAAAGATCTGTCTTCTGACAGGTTTTCTTAGCGCTGTGGCAACAGAAATTCTCTGGACAACAGCAGCGGCTGGTTTGGTGTCCTAGCCATTCTTCCCTGTATTTCCTGTGTTAATACTGTATTAACTGTGTAATGACTGTACCTGCTTTGGAGAAGTGCTTACCTATTTTTTTCAGCAATATTGCAGATACAGTAGTAAGCCAGTACTACCTGAGCTGGTGTATGTTGGTGTACATCAGGCTATAGCATTCCAGAACACGTGAAGCACAACTGATAGCAATGTGCAGCTGTGCCATTGTTAGAAAAGGGATAAATAGCTCTCTTGTGTGCATGTAACCTCCTCATTTTGTTCACATCTATTGAACAATCTTGTTTTTTCCTTTTATTCAGCTGTTCCCTGTACACAAAGTCGTACCAGCACATAAAAAATCCTAACTGATGGGGTTTGTTCTTGGCCCCAGTCTCTGACACGTCCATCTGGGGAGAAGAACATTTCTCCTTTTGAGTATGTTCCTTTAATGAATATTTATATTGCAGGCATTCAGACCAGAAATGTTATATTCAATCATAGCAAGATGCCCTTTTGCTTTATTTCTTCTACATCTGCATAAAGAAAGAGAACGCTGCATAACTGTTTGCTAAGCTGAAGCCCCTTTTATGTTAGTGAAAACCATTTTCAATTAATATTGAACCTTCAGTAGACTTACCCCTCTTTCTGTCTTTTCTTTGTAGCATTTCCTGTTTTTACCATGTTCTCCTAGATAATTATTTCTTTTTCTCACACCTTATTTGTCAGTTTTCAGGAGTGAAACCCTGACTTTCAAGCATATGATTTCTCCCTGTTTTTTTTTCTCTCTTAGATGCTTTTAGCTTTTCTTCCTTATTTCTTGCTTACCATGCCATCCCCTGGAGGTTTAGTGACACTGCTCATCTTGTGAGGGACATTTTCTCACCTCAGGAAAACCTTTAGTTTGCCATGGCTTAAGGTGTTAACATTCTATAAGTGGAAAATGTTTCTCCAGACTTACCAGCAAGGTGTCTGGACTGTAACTAATCTTTAGAGCCAGGCCTCTTCAGCTCAGAGACCAGCCCCTCTCTCTTCATCCTGCCTGGACAACATCTTCGGCACAGGGCTAGGCCCCCGCATGGTGCATGAATGGAGGTCTCAGCAGATCTGCAGGTAGAGCTTCAGCCAGTTTTCCAAAACCAGCAGAATCCCTGCGGCAGGTCCTGCCCTGGGAATCATCCTCCTTGCTCTGCTCACAAGCATATTCAGTGTTCTCTGTGAATTTTCTTCATTAGTCACCCCTCTTTCTTTGATAATTACTACAATTGCCAGGGAACACTAGAGAAAGTGCACATGGGTAAGGGAACTTATGGACTTTAAAACTAAAGATTTACTCACCTTTTCAGAGACCTCCATCTTCTCAAAGACTTCTGTCTGATTTCTTGATGTTGTCTCCCCAGCAGTGACAGTCTTGGCAATGTGATACTGTTTCGCCTTCACCTCAAATGATAATTAGAGGATGGGGTCAGTAATTTCCTGTTGAAAACAGCTATGGTTAGCAGA